CATCATCAACCTACCTACTTAAAATGGCAGAGGCCACGTGGATGCTGTACTGCTTGAAAGGTGGCCTGTAACACTTTTCAAGAAAGTTGGCAAGCTAGCCAACATAGCACCCAAAAGATCCTAGCTGCTAGTTACAATGGCTATGCTCTTCCTCCACCGTCAGAGGCACTATGCCTCTGAATACCAGTTGCTGAGAACTGCAGGTGGGTAGTGCACTGTTGAGCTCATGTCCTGTTTGAGGGCTTCACACAGGCATCTGGTTGGCCACTGTGAAAACAGGATGCTGAAGCAGATGGGCCATTGGCCTAATTCAGCACTCTTATTATGTCTTAAGACCAATACACAAACATACACACTGAATCTCACTAAATGCATTCTATGGAATGGTGGCAGCCACCTCCACGGCCCTCCCATAAAGCAGCAGAACGATAGGGAGCAGAACATGTGCGTGTATCTACAACACACGCAAGTACTTCGCTGCAAATGCTGACATGAACCCTTCAAACCTGTGAAGACTCGTGTTTGTGTGTGTGTGTGTGTGTGTGTGTGTGTGTGTATTTGCTTGCTGTAAGCTTCTTCCTGAGCATTATGCTCATGTTGAGAGATACCCGACATTAAGTGAAAGGACAGAAGGGGAAGTTAGGCCATGTGGCCTAAATTGGGAATGGAGAATGGGTAAGTCTTCTGAGGAGAGTTGAAAGGAATAACCAGTCCTATCTGAGAGGCTAGAGTGTGCATGTGAGAGTGACCTCCCTCACTCCCACCGAAGAGGGAGACAAAGGCTCTACAGTGGTACCTCTAGTTACAGACGCTTCAGGTTACAGACTCTGCTAACCCAGAAACAGTACCTTGGGTTCAGAACTTTGCTTCAGGATGAGAACAGAAATCGCGCAGCGGCAGTGGGAAGCCCCATTAGCTAAAGTGGTACATCAGGTTAAGAACAGTTTCAGGTTAAGAACGGACCTCCAGAACGAATCAAGTCCTTAACCCAAGGTACCACTGTATAGCCCTTCCATTGCTATCAGGTGAGCCTATGATGGGAAACAATGGTAAGCTGAGACTTACACAAGGGCATTCTTGATTTCATGGAACATTTGATGATGGAACTTTTGACCAAGTTCAAACAACAGGCAGTCTATTGACATAACTGTTCTATTAACTAAGATCCCAAGCCACAGGACTATAGTTGCCTTTTCCCTAGGAGGATTGTACAACACTAACTACCCCAGCGCACATTCGCACACAAGCACACACTATGACGCCAGAAGGCAACACTCCTCTTTACCTTCTGCTGAATATTCTGCTACCTCCAAGGCTTGAAGTCCATATACGAAGCCCGATGGAATCTATGGACACAGCAGAAGTAAAAGGCAGAGATTTATGTAGATATACAAGATTTACGTCTCAACAGCGCCAAATACCTAGATATCCACTGAGCAGTTCTTTAATAAATAGGCACACCATTTGGAAACATGATAGTTATCAGTCCAAGACTTTCAAGGAAGTTCAGGAGTCACTAAAACAACAAACAGGTAAAGATTATTCTTTGATACTAAACAGAAATATTTGAGAGTTGAAAGTGTGAGTGGCTTAACTTCCCAGAACATACCCACAAATAGACACATTTTATTGGCCAAACTTTTGCTTCTGGTTAAACACATTTTGCAAGTCTCTGAAACAAATGGTGTTTTTTTAAAAAAAAACCCTACAAAAACTTCTTACCAGTGGGATGAGAGCAAACACTATGAGCAATCACTTGCACTTTCAAACCATCTTAAACTCACTGAAAAAAACATCATCTGTATCCACTTCAGTATTGCTGAACTACATGCAGTACACAAAAGCAGTTATGGCTACCTTGAAAATACAACTTACTCAAAAGTTTTTTTTCAAAGTAAGCACTGATAAGATCTTCATATACCTTTTATGGAATATAAATGAATATCTTCACTTATCCTACTTTTATCACACATGAGCTAATAAGCTCTTTATTTGAGGGGGGGGGTGATTCAAAATCCTCTCCATTTATAGCAAGCTAGCTATGTCCCACACAGTACAGGACCACCAGCCAGTTTGACATAGAAGAAAATTCCATTCCTCCTGCCTCAAAAGGAAGGGTTAGAAGAGAGGACAAATCATTGTGGGAAAACACTTAAGAACAAATGTATATTTAAAAGTTATCAACAAAAACATAGAAACAGTACTATAAGGAACTAGTAAACAGTGGAAATATTTGCATGGATGCAGCAGTGATCACAATATCATTCATGATAAGGAGAAGCCTTTCGGACATCAGTAGTTCAGAAACTGACCTGAATCAGAAGTTTATACTAAGTATTTTAAAAAATCAGAATTCCAGGTACAGGTGGCAAAAAATAAATTGCCACTTAAACATTTTCCAAAACAGCACTGTTTGCACTATATACTGCAGAACAACTGTAAAAATGAATGGCTATTTGCAAGCGAGGCTGTCACCTAGGAGTCTGAAATCTTTCTTCAAGTTCTCGGATAAATGCAATCACACCTGTTTCCCAGCCTCTCTAAAGAAAAGTATTACACTTTAAAACTCCTGAAACACCACATTAAAAGTAAAATTAATGCAGTTTTTGAAGACAGGTTACCATCAAAATTAAGAATAATTTCTGAAATATTTATTCAAGCAGTAATTAGAAAAATCTGCTCAAATTAATTAGAAGCAAACAAAGAGATCAGTGGAAGGTCTGTATGTATTATAATTGCTCCTACTGTGCTATAAAACTTCATAACAGAACTTATCCCCCCCCCATTAGGGGGCTATGCCAATTACATAGTTAAACAGCTGCCATCTCCAATGCTCACTCAGCAAAGGGGAGAAAAATACAAACAGAAAACCCCCAAATGGTGTAAAAAACAACAACAGACAAGCATATAGAACAGTGTTTCCCACCTTTTTTGGGCAAAGGCACCACTTGTTTTGATGAAAAAATCTCGAGGCACACCACCATTACAGCCCCGTGACGTCAGCGCGCAGCGTCACGCCGGGAGGGACGCACGAAAGTGTAACTTTTCAATTTTTTCCCTCCCCTTGCCGGGAACCTTCAAGCTTTGGGGGTGGGGGGGGAGGAGGCAGCAAAGCGAGGGACTGAGGGACTCCTCCAACGACAAGGGTTGGGGAAGAAGAGAAAGGGCTATTCCGCTCCAGTCACGGGAGGGGAATATGTACTGGCCCAACTGGTGTGCGGTCTTCGGAAAGCGGGGTGCGGGAAGGAAGCCTAGGCTCGGGGTCCACCGACCTCGGCGGAGAAAGGCAACAACCGGAGCCGATGACGAGCCGGCGCCGTGCGTGCAGCGGCTGGCCTCGAGCTCGGGAAGCTGCGCGC